TATTGAGGTAAACATAATAAATTATGTTAAAATAGAATTTTGTTATGACCAAAATCGCCAACAAAAAAAAAAAGGTTTATGAACTTTTAAATCATTTAGTAACTTTGAATTAATGACACAAGGGAATAGACGTCGATTTTAAGTCATTTAATATTTTTAGTTAAGCAGTAAGCAGTTAGGTTAAGTTAGGTTAAACTAGCAATCCCAAGAGATGCACTTAGGCCTATAGGCCTATTATGTTACTGTATAAACTTATATATTGAAAACTCTGAGGTTACAATCACTTAGAACCTTTGGCAAAACTTATAATGCTATTTAAGGGGAAATCTTGCTTTCGCCAAGATCCTCAAAAAACAAAGTCCCTTAAGTGATACAATTAAGGGTTACTAATTCATCAAAGGAAAGCAACAAATGAAATCTGCAAACAAGCATTAACATGGAATCCTCAAGGAAGCAGAGGACCTGGTACGCCCAAGCAAACGTGAAAGAGAAAGCAATCCAAGGAAGCGGACAAACCTTTGAAGAAATTAAAACCCTGGCAAAAAATCGTGACCGTTGGAAAAACGTACTGGATTGATTGATTGTATTTATCAAAACAAGGAACAATGGAATCTGACAGATCCACGGGCACTATAACTAACAATCTCAAAAGGAAAGTTGAAGAGGTCTTTAAGAGGCAAATGTCAAACACTGAAGAAACGACTGACTTATCTAAATAATTTATATTATTAATAATATGTTATTATATATATTATTATATATTATGATTTACATAAAATTATTTCCACTCACTAGTGGAGAGTATCAAACGCCGAAGAAGTAACTTACTTCTCTGAAAATGGTTTATTTTATTAAGCCGTAACTAAGCGAACCACAACTAGAACATTATAACTATAGTTACAGTAAACATTATTAATTTTAAATTTTAAATCGAGCTAAATTAATTTAGAAAGAGTCACACAGCTAACAATCCAACAACAAAAATCGGAATCCTTCATAGGCTAACAAAAGATGTTATAAGCAAAGAAGGAAACACGATTGACCTATTTAAGCGATTATAATTCCGATTATGCCGGTATTCCATCATTTCGTACTCTTCATCAGTTCTAATTTGATTTAATAGTTAGTTTAATATTAAGATGGACTTAAGTTTAAGTTTGAGAAATAAAACGTAGTCTGGACAAACAAAAACCGTACTAGTATGATATACTAGAGTATAGTACCTATACTCTTCCCTTGTCTCGATTGTCCTGTTGTATAATACACATCTTTGTAAAATGTCCACCCGTAATGAGAAGATATTAGAAACTTTGTTGTTATTACAAATCTTTCTAAGAGATCAATTTTCACGGGTGTTTACTGTATTCATTCAGATAACTCAGATACATTGGTTTTTCACGCACTTACGCACGTATGCATCTCAACTACCTATACGAGGTTTTCACACTACTGCATTACACATCATTTTTAGCCAAGTTTATGACCATATATTTGTTCACTAATTCACACTGAAACCAGCCATAACGAAAGTATAAAAATATATATATATAAATATATATATATTGTATATATATTCGTACAATAAATAATGCAAATGATAAAATAATTATCAATTGTATTTGTGAACTAAATATGTGAACTATTTACTTTTCTTCACGAATTGTTGAATTCAAGCTAGACGATTGATTCCAAAAATCTTCTCGAAATTCATGGTCAATAAGTTTTTAACTTATATACGAGTATTTTAGAATTTGATTAATTTATAGATCTAACGTAAAAAATTGCTAAGTCCAACGTAAAAAAATTATTTTTGGTTGCTTATTTATTTCAATTTATTTTGTATTGATCTAATTTTTTTATTTAAATATTAAATTCATTTCTTATTAAGTATATTTAATTTAAATAACATTAGTATAATTTATTTACATATTTATTTTTTTATTTAAATATTAAATTCATTTCATTAAGTATATTTAATTTAAATTAAATTAGTATATATTTATTTATACATTTATTTATTTTAATTGTATACATGTTTATTTAAGATTTGAAGATAATAGGTGCGGTAGAAAGTAATTCCTATCGACTCTGTCATGAGGTGAAGGAAACATCAGAACATATCATATGCAACTACTCAGCGGTGGCAAGACGTAGACTCGACTACCTTGGAAACGGGACCTTTGTTCCACATCAAATAGGTAAAATCAAGCCCACAGCAATTACGAGATTATATAGATTATATATTATATAGTCTAGAATTGTTTTAGTTGGGCCTTTAGGCGCACAATAGATCTTTTAGATCGGGGTGCATTCATAGCCTATTATTTAATAATAATATATAATAATTTATGTTCACATATTATGCATATATACATACAATACACATATAATACACATATATATATGTATTACAGGCTCACTAACTAGAACTCCAATTCAAATTCTCCAGAAATTTGAACCTAAAATTTTATTGCTTTGTAACCACTGAAAGCTCCAAAATTATAAAAAATAAAACAAAAAATCTTTGCTGATGTCGAATATCCTCAGATGAAAAAATATCTGTTTAAATGGTCTTTTGTTTAGATATAAAGTACGAAGCGAACGCCTTTTTTGCTGGCTCACATAAGTTAGTGCCATTGGTGATTGATAAGTGTTTACTGATTGAAGCAAGGAAACCAAGATGCTTCAATGGACTTAAAAACCCACATCATTACAGATTTTCGAAAAATGCCTGGTTGACATCACAAATTTTCATAAGTGCTTTTCATGAGAAGTAAACAGAAAAAATGACTTTGTTTTTAAATTTATCATATTAAAAAATATTTTTTGTTAAGCAGGTTATTCAATTTTTATTAGAAACTTAATTGTCTCCGAAGGCTCTTCTGCTTATGCCCCGATAGAAAAACTACAAAGTGATGATGGAAACATTGTTGCATTTTTCAACAAGGTTTATTACAAAACTTAACCATAGAAATAAGCTTCTCACCGAATTAATTGCTCAAGATGAAGAAGTAAACAATTTTTCAAAATATCATTCCGTCCGAAATGCAATAACTTATTTGAAACAGGCTTCAGATGAACTGCTCCACAAACTTTTTAAAAACTCTTAGTCTAAATTATTATATTAAGACCCTGATCATAACGACGCCAATGATAATTTGCAACTTGCGCATTTAATTAAGGAAGATGAGGACTATACTAAAGCTATTCCAACAATTCAAACTCTTTAAGTAAAATTGAACTCAAGAAATTCAATCTGTGTAAAGCAAATCGAAGAATGAATAGAGTTATTATTCAAGACAGATCTGAATATGAGTTCCTCAGCAATAGTTTTGGATTTTGTGAACTTATGTAGAATAAAATAATTTAAAATTTTTAATAGGCTATCTATTGTGAACATAAATTCTGTGCAATTAAAAAAAAGTAGCCGTGGCTACTTGTGAAAAAACATGATTCATTATCGCTTCAGATTTGACAAGCCCGAGTTTTAAGCCTGGCACTTGCAGTCTATACAAATTATATATGGATTTGTATATATATGGAATATTTCTATAGACCACTGATAATGAGTACTTGATAATGAGTACTGGAAATACTCAAAACAACGTTGTATGGTCAGCCAAATTTCAATAAATGAACTAAAATTTTTGTTGTTGTCTTTTTATTTCTATTCGAACCCTTCTAACTTTTCTATAGTATTTTTTCGGCATAATATGCTTAAAAAAAAACTTTATTTTAATTATTTATATAAGTTTATTTAAAACAGCCCGGCCTGATTCTATAATGATTTTTCAATAGAACAAATTAATTTTCTCAATATTTAAAATTTTATAAAAACACTATAAAACAAAAAATGTTAAATTTTTTATGCATTTTGTTAGATTTTAATATATTTAAATTATTTTTATTATTATAATATAGTAACATTGAATATTATAATTACATCAGTACCTTGAAGATTACTATAAAACTCGTTAATTGATAAAAAATAAAATATAATTTTTAAAAAAATAATTTAAAAATTGTATTATTAAACATTTGAGAAATTAACCCGTTTTAAAAATAAAATAATAAATAAAAAATATTGTTCATTAAAAAATAAAATATTTTTATTATTGTAATATTATTAAAGTCTTCATATTAATTATTATTAAAATTATAATTAAAAATTATAAATTATTCAAATTATTGGAACTTGTTTTATTTTTGCTCAGTTTTTATCTTTAATATATTTATTTTTTATTTATTACACACATTTTATTTTATCATATTAATTATTATATTTATATATAAAATATATTACTATATTAATTTTAATTTTTTTAATTTGTAATTTATTAAAAAAAACATTTAAATTTGATTTGAATTAGGAAACATTGAATTAAAAAATCGAAATATCATTTTATTTTTTATTTATTTAACATTATTAAAATGTTATTAAATAGTTTTTATATACTTTTTTATCCGGCTATAGATCACTATTTGTTAAATATTTCAACGTTTGTTTAAAATTTTTTAATATATTCTACATTTCCAGATATTCTATATATAACTCCTTGAGAGTTATTATCACTGCAATATAGACAACAGCATAAAGAGGATGGCGTAGATATAGTTTTAGTAATATTAATTTATATTAGATCGTGATCATACTGATAACTCTTAAAGAAAATCAAAATATAAAATATTTTAAAAAATATTAAATAAACGTTGTATTATGACCTATAGCCGGATAAAAAAAAATATATAAAAACAATTATAAAAACACAGTTCGTTAAATAAATTCAAAATTATATATTATTAAATATTACTCCTATTAAATTAAGAATTTATTTTCTTTCAACAAAACTGACGTTAAAAATCAATTCACTGTAAATCTTTAAAAGAAATACTTATTTATTTTAGTTAGGCTATAATTTTATATTTATAACTATTTCATATTGTTATAATAATTTTATAGTTCACATATTACACATAGATTTAAATTATTTAATATTTACCATCATGATCCACATTCATTTCAATTGAATTTCCTATGAAAGGCATTGACGCAGGACCTGGTATTTTTTCGATTAGCTTAACCATGCGTGCACGTCTCTTATTATAGATCACCAAAAACATGGTTATTGCAGCAACTAGGAAAATCGTTACTGGCGAGTAGCCTGAAATTAACTTCACAGCCTTGCTCAGTAAGACACTTTCGGCCATTAAAGTGGACACAACTTTTGAGGACATTTTATTTTTTTGTTTATAATAACGTTAGCACTTAATAATTTTTAACTTAAATATTTATTTAAAATTGCTGATTACAGTTAGTTTCTTAAATTCACTTATGCATATTTTACAAATGCAATAACAATCAAATAATTTTTTTTGTATATTAAATTTATTTGTTCTGCACAAATATTAAAATTTTAAATTTTTTGTGCAAAATTTATATTTAAATTTTAAGAATTTATTTTTAGCAATAATTTGAACAAAATATTGTTTTAAGCGCACTTTAACAATCACTTCCGTTTAAGTAAGTCGCTCCGTTTCCGTTAATTATTTAAATTAATATTTATAAACAAAATCGCCTTTGCCTTTGCCTGCCTTTGTGGTTTTAGGTCCACAAGTGCTCAGCTTTAATTTAAGATTTTTGAGATGTTACAAAGTCGCCAGTCGAATGTCAACTAACAAAGCCCAAATGATTGCATAAAAATTTAAAAGAAGTGTTAAATTAATTTTTATTTCGCTTGAACGGCTGGTTGTGTTAGTGACCGGCTGGCTACGCGCCTCAAAACGGTTCGTATGTATGCTAACTCGTCATAGTTAAAGAAAAAAGGTTTTACTTAGCGAACTTCGACGAGTCGTGCTGCTCGCTTAAACACTGTAAAATAGTAGTAGACTACCTAGTAGTAGTACCTAATCTTTTACGCTCTTATTGCTACTGTTAATCAACAGCACAACAAATTTCAGCAGCACACATTTTAAAACTTTTTGTTAGCTGGCAACTGCTAACTGGCCACTGTTAGCTGGTTACTGCTAGCTGGTTACTGTTAGCTGGCCACTGTTAGTTGGCCAGTGTTAGTTGGCCACTGTTAGCTGTTAACTGATAGTTGCTGTGTAGCTGTTAGCTGTTGTTGGTTAGAAATGCACTGTTAAGCAGAAACTGGGTCTTAACCAAATTTTATTTGTGACGTTTTTGGCTTTAACATTGTACGATTTATTTAGTTTTCTATTGAGACTTGTTTCTTGTGTGTATTTGTGCCCTTGGATTTTTATATTGCAATTTTCAAGTGCTTTTGATTATTTTGAAGTTGTTAGTGTTTTTTGTTGTTCTGTCATGTGTAGTTTGCAGTGGCTGAGCTTAGAGGCTTTAATTAATTCTCAAGCCACAAAATATTTCAAGTTGACTAAAATTGTTACTTAGAATTTAATTAAATTATTTTGGCCTTGCGTGGTTTAATTCTTGTGGGTGCATAATTTTTTACGTTTTATCAGACCAAATAATATAATTATAAAGGTATTATTAAAAAGATATATAATATGATATTAATAGTGTCAATTTAATGTCACTATTGTTATTTAAAACACAATATATGATTGTTTAAAAATAATTTTTAAACAATTTTTAATGAAAGAACAATTGGATTAATTCCCATTTTGTTTAAACAAAAGATTTTTATATAAATAAAATTTGTAAAGAGGTTTTTTTTTGAAAAGTAGTGAACTAAAATAACAAAAATTCATTATTATATTATTTTTAATTTATTGAATTTTTGTCTGACCATACAGCTGTTTCGAGTATTGCCAAATACATGGGTATTTGGTAAAACATCATCAGTGGTCTTGGAATTATTTCTTATATTAATTTGTACATAATTTTTGAGACTACAAGTACCAGGAATCAAACTCGAGCCCTGCCAACTTTGAAGCTCAGAAACAGCGCCAACTGACCCAAAGCCATATTCGACTTTTATGTTCGCATATTTTTCTGGAGTTTTGTTAATTTGCTGTAAAAATTCATTAATAAATTCACTTACTGTGTTTATATTAGAACAAAATTATAAACCAGCTGTAGAATAATTGAATTAATTAATCATATTTTTATTATTAATTGTTAGATTCCAATACTATTCTGTTTGTAGAGGCATTATTTGTTGCACGATAAATAAAATAAAAATCTAGACAAAAAGTATTTGTGGTGTTAAATTGTTTTAAAGTAGATTTCGTTCGATTTATAATTCTGTCCTGAAATGTAAGTGATTCTGTTCTTCTAAGTTACACTTAAAATCTTTCTTGTCTGTTTTTTCAAATACTGTTAAGAGAATAAGCAAATTTTTCGAGTTGCACTTTTCCGACTATGTTATAGTCTATGCATCAGTACTCCAAAAACATCGCAGATGTCTTTTGTTCCTTTAATTTGGTTTATTTTCTATTTGACTAATTATTATGATTGCGATCAGAAACAATAAATCGAAATGTGGCAAAAAAATATGAAACAATAGCACTCAAGGAAGATAGTCAGCTAGACTGATACCAAATATAATCACCTGACTTAAACAGAAATCGGGAGACACAAGACCTAGAAAGAAGAAGAAACTAGGCTAATAAATAGTGCAGAAGAAAATCAAGAAAATGTGATGAAAAAATGAAGGTCTGGATGCATATCGTTAAACACAAGAACATGGCTTGTAATGCCAACATAAAAGAGACCCTCCTCGAATAAATGTAAAAGCGGTTTATGTTTCATACCGTATTCTACATATTAATGTTATGGAGTCGCGCAAATTATTCCGACGATGGACGGTCAGACGAAAGAATTTCATCTTCTCACCACAAAAAATATTATAATTCTTATTACTACTTTTACAACTTATTACTACTTTTAGAGAGTTAAAATATACTACTTCAGAATTTATCATAAAATTATGTCATATAATTACTATAGATTGAATAATCATCAAACGAAGTTAGGAATTCAATCCAACTAAGACTGAAGATACTGTAGAAAAGAGAAAGAAACTGCATACCATGTGTTTGGGGAGTGTCCGGCACTAATGCGCAAGCGGAAGACACACCTAGGAGGGTATTTCATGTATCATAAGGATCCAAGACTAGGAAAGATAGGCTCTATACTATCTTTAATTAAAGAAACCCAATTTGGAAATAGACCCTAATCCGATTAGAGACACAATAGATGTTTTAGGTCGCAGTGCACTACCCCTTTTCACAATAATAATAATGTCATATAATTAAAAACATATTGTTGACCATTAAGTAAATATTTATTTATTAAATTTAAGTTTTATTGTCAGACAAATATGATTATAAACTCAAATACAATGTAATAATTGGAAATACCAAACAGTCTTAATTAGAATAAATATATTCACTTCTTTATACATATAAGTAAGTAAGTCTTAGATATTTGGTTTCCCGCAGAATTGAAGCTTCAAAAAATTATGCTTCAATAATTAAATATAATTATTGTTTACATATTGGAATTTGCATATTATAAGGCAAATTAATTAATGCAAAGTAATTATGGTTGAATCGAAATGCCAGATGTAAAACTACGTAAAACATATTTTTTTCAGATTTATAAATAAAACATTATAAAGTTCTCCAGTTCGGAGAAAAGTTAATACAAAAAATATTTTGTTTGGTCAAGACCGGTTAAGACAAAATTACATAAAATGATTTAGGTACGCAAATTTTGTATTATTTATTTTATATATCATTTAATTCTTTTAATTATTTTATTAGTCACATGAGCAGCTTGCGGTTTAATATGAACTCTTAGTGCAATTTTACACGAGTCATTGTAACTACAGTTCTTGATAAGGAATTTATTGATTAAAATTACAATATAATTAACCACAAAAACAATGTCCTCACCAGTGACGACGCGTGCCCTATCTGGAAGGGTGTGCGGCCCTTCTATAATGTTGTTTTTACATGTACCACTTATATTAAAATATATGAGATGTTTTATTAATAATAACTATATTATGTTAGGCAACAATATATTCGTAATATTATATTAACAATTCATTAACAAAATAACATATTAAACAAATTAAATTAATAATTTATATATAAATTTAATATTATATCAAAAACAAAACTTTTCATATACTTGTAACATCAAACCAACTTTTTTCAAACAAAAGAGTTTTAACTCAGAACCATACATGTTTATCCAGTGATCAAACAAAATCAAACTCACTTGCAACGTACAAATGTGCGCACATGTACTCCGCACAGTAAGAACAGAAATTCGTGGGTGTTACTGTTAAAAGGGGAGAGACGAAATGTGATAGAAATGTATGGTGAGATGAGCTGCAAACTTCAGCCGCTCATGCAATCACTTTGGCAAATCATCATGTTGGATTCGTATGCATGCAGTTGATATTCGAAGAGAACAGAAAATTACTCTCATACAATTCCCACTATATAAATCTCTATTTCTGATATTACGAACGGGAGCACACACACATTATTTTGTTCATATGCAACGTATGAATGTGTGGTCAACTTCTTTGCACACAAAGGGGAGAGACGAAATATAATAGAAATTTTCTGTGATTTGAGCTGCAAATATATGAGCACAACTAACAAGTATAGCAGCTAACAGAAGCAAATTGATTGAGTTTTCATAGACAATTATATTTAATTGTTTTTGCTAAAACTTTAAAAATATATATATATGGAAATGTAATAAATAATAATAATTCTTGATGTGAAGATACTTAATAAATTTATGTACCTATGTTATTTAACATTTTGCAAATTATGTTAGGGTGTTCACCGCACACCTCCGCACCTTAGAGCAGTCGTCACTGGTCCTCACTAATATCCTCACTAAAAATAATTATTAAATGAGTAAAAATTTAAATTTGAGTTTGATTTCCACGAAATTTATCAATCATGCTTGGTATATCATGAGCAAATATTTTGAAATCGAAACACATCGATCAGGAGGTCATTTAAAAATATTTTGACATAAGATGTAGACACAAGTGGCCTGAAGCCCTGAAAAAAATTACCTGTTGGGACTGGGAGATTTCGTCGCTTTAATAAAACAAGCAATGTCTTTAGTTGCTAGTGACATTTGAGGAGATGTAACTTCTGATTGTATATAGGTTTTCTGACGAGAGTGGACAGTGATAGATTATATCATTAATACTCGTACCACCTCTTTTCCTTTTAATCTTTAGCTAAAAAAGTAATGGTTACAAAAATCTTTTAAACGGTCCATAGGCTCACCCATAAAACATTTTCATGTCAGTACGGCAATAGCGTCAAAGATTGAATGGCAGACAAAGCTTTTCAGTTCATCTCTAATCACTTTTTTGT